ATGGCTTAACTAATGGCTCCTTTGTTTCTCATTCACTGTGTTACTTTTTCTTTTTAAGTTAAGTTGCCCCTTTTGTGTGAATACAGGAACCAAAACTTATTCTTAATTTATCTCAATTTCCTTCTTTTACTGAGTGAGTAACAATTCAACATTGTTTTCCACACCCTCCATCCCCTTGCTGTCTGTTTCCAGTTGTCCTGGAGGACTTCCTGGAAAATATCCAGGAATTGATCCCCCGCTTATCATCTAGACCCTTCTCCTTCTCCTCGAGGAGGGACGCCAGTTGCACTCAGCACAAGTGTATCCTGGCTCCTCCTGGGGGAGGTAGGCAAGCGTGGCTCAGGTGCCACTCCTGCTGCGGCCCTCTCCTGGTGTGGCATAGGCCACCCCTCGGTGGTCTGCCAACCGCTGTGCGGGGCCTCAAGTAGGCCTCACGGGCAGCTGCACCTACCCTGCCCCTTCTGCTTCGCCAGGGGCTGCACTGTGCCTCCATTGCAGCTCCCAGTCCTGCTGTTCCTCCCCAGGTCCCTTGCTGCTCTTCCGCACTTCCTCTGGCTTCCTCAGCTCCTCCTTGCTCTGTTCTGCTGGGATCCAAAACCAATGAATACAAAAGCCATGATGTTGTATGTCGTCTTATTTTTAAATTGCTTCCATTTTTTAAAATTGTGTGAACAGCCATAAAGGGGCTCTGTAGCCGTGACACTCAATAATTCACTAAAATAACTCTGCCCCTTGAGCTATGCGCAAACCAGTCTTTGTAGGGAAGAAAGAACTGGATTCCCACCTCCCCATATTTCGCTTTTAATCTTCTTAGGAAAGTAATTGCAAGTATATGGCAGAGATGTAGAAATTTTGCTACATCCATTCCATCTGTATTTTGCAAATTGTCAGGTGTTGTTTAAGAATGCACAAGAATTCTGTTCCCCTTTGCAAACGTGTCCCACGCCAACCCCAAAATTGAATTCAAGCAAGAACACAAGACTCAGGAAATGTTTGCGATTTTGCAACGTTGCTTTTGCATTTGATGGTGTGCACTTGCACAAATTCACAGTTGCTCAACTCTCCCACCACCAGCAACACCCCCTCCCCCAAAACAAAGCCGGTCTGAAGTTCTGCAAAATCTGCATAACTTGTAAAAAGTCAGTCCTCTTCCAAATCCACAGGTCAGAAATCCAGATTCATTTGGATCCTTTGTGGATGTCCCTGAATATTCAGATTCCATTGTGGACATCCTCTGACATCCCTGGAATATGGCCAAAAATTAGTCCCAAAGGATCCACCATTATCATCATTGAAGGAGAAGGAAAAGGAGGCAGTCTGAATCATCAGTGAATCATCTCTTTCACACTTTCTTGCTTCCCTTTCTTGCTTCCACCTCATTTTGTATATTTTCTCTTTTTCTGGAATCAGTCGCACACATTCTACATGCGCAGGGCCCTGTGCCTTTCCTTTTACTCAGCCCTAAGGAAGGCTATTTCTCATTGTCACTGATTACACAGCAGGGCTTCTTGTATACGGCAACTGCGAGACAAAAAAGGGAATGCTTCTGCATTGAAAGGATATCTTTTGGGGGCAGTGGGCCCTTCAGCACAAAATTGCAAGATGTAGCAAAAGTCATGATTTTGTTATCCAGCTTGAAAGGCAAATATGACCTCATCATGTTTCTCATGGACAAAAAAGCATTGCTTTGAGCAAGCCAGCAATCATTCAGAAAGAGCTTCTTCATTACATTGTAGGGCATATTTCAGCTTTTCACGGGTAGTCTTTGCATTGCTATTTGCCAGGGAAGAAATTAAGGCCATGCTAGATCTATTTTTATCCTTGCAGTCTTGTCTTTATCAAACAATTAAAGACTCGATTCTCACTATACTTGTGTTTGCTGCCTTCACACTCACCAAGGAATGGTCAAGGCCAGTGCTATAGCAGACTTGCAAGAGAAAAGCACCAGGACTTTTTGGTTAGCAGAGATGATTGTGTATCTGCCATCTACTTCTCTTGGGATTGCTGCTCCCTTTGAAATGAGCTCTAATCCTGGGAGAAATTGATTTTCTCCCTGCAGCAAAATAGAGTGGCGCACTGTCCCTGTAATAATGCAAAGTATTTTGGGTGGCTTGGTCCTGCATGGGCAAAAAAAACTCCATTAGCTTTATAATGGAGGTCAATGTTTCTAAAATATGTGTGTATTTATTCTATACTGCCCCATAACTAAAGCTTTATTTTTGGACTCTGTCAATGCAGCTGTGGGGATCTTCCCAAAGACTTACTTTACCTAGGTTAGTGCCCTGTGGCTCTAATTCTTGCTCTTGTTATATACCACAAAAGCACCAGACCTCAGGATCCCCACAAATGACAAATGATGCCATTTTTCTGATACTTTGTGGTGTCATAGAATCATAGAATAGTAGGGTTGGAAGGGGCCATGAAGGCCATCAGGTCCAACGCTCTGCTATTGCAGGACACCACATTACACCATCCCACTCAGGTGGCTGTCCAGTTTCTTTCTGAATGTCTCCAGTGTGGGAGAGCCCACCACCTCTCCAGGCAGCTGGTTCCACTGTTGTATCGCTCTGAATGTGAGGAAGCTTTTCCTAATGTCCAGCCTGAATCTGGGTTGCCACAACTTGAATTGATTATTCTGTGTAAATTAATTGATTATTTTAATTGATTATTCACAAATTCAAAATCAATTAAAATCAGCTATCAAACAGTCTCCTTCCCTTCCTCTCTCTCTCTCTCTCGATCAGGTGAATGAATACAGAAGGTAATGACAAAACTCCAAGCACCTTTCTTTGCATACCTTTATCGGGATAAAGTCTGAGTGCACTGAGCAGGGGTTGGACCCGATGGCCTCTGGGCCTCTTCCAATTCTACTATTCTAGTCTTCTATGAGTACAGAGCAAACAGAATTGCATGCCCCACACAAGGATAATGTTAATCATTACAGAAGCAAGGGGTACAACCCTGTAAACATATTCCTTCTCTTCTAATGATGAACATTTTGCTAGTACTCAAAGCAAGTTTTCCTTTATTTATTCAGTTATGCACTTGGACTCCATTGTCTTCCTATCCTAGGTAATAATGTTCTGACAGGGTCAGGTAGAACAATTAGAATATTGTAGACAATATTCTAATTGTTCCCCTCTATCTTTTCCCATTCCTGCACAGTAAAAGCTAGAGCGAACGAAACTGTGCGGCACCACTTCCAAAAGATACACAAGTTCCAGTTTGGCAAGCCTCCAAAGGAAAAGAATGTCCCATTCTGTACTTCCTTGAAATTCACAAGGGAAGTGAATTCACAAGGGGAATTCACAAGGGAAGTTCCCTCAGGTGAATGAGGGAAAAAACAGACATTAGAGAGCTCCATTGGGAGTATGTTGTCTTAGCAGAGAGCCGAAGCCTTATGAAGCCAACAGGACCTGTACTGTGGTTAGCTTTACTTCTCTCAGAGGAGATGAATGGACCTTTCAAGGGGTCTCACCTACTTTTGTAGGCTGAAATGCCTGTCCACCTCAGGAAATGGCAGAAATGGGAAGGCATCCACTGAGCCAGAGGGCTGGGAGGACCCTGAATCTTCCTCTGAACTTTCTGAGCACCCTGTGGGGACAGAGGGCCAGGGATCATTGCAGAGAATGCCCCCTGACTTGGTGCATAGAGGGTTTGCTTAACAGCTGTCAGGAGCAACTTGCTTGGAATTCAACAGGAAACCACTGCAGAACGCTTTCTCTCTTTCACTAGAAATGGAAGCTTTTAGACGTTGTTCTCCATTTGTAACTTATAGTAGAGTGGTGGTGGAATAAGAGCTATGTTTTGATACTGTAGCAATTCTTTTTTTAATTGTTTGTGGATTTATATTGCTGTTGAATTGGAAAAAGCATGAATGAAAAGCTGGCCTCAAGTACAGAGTACCCAGGGCATCCCTAGAGAATCATAATATGTCTTTAGCTCTGTGTATACAGGCCTGAAGGTTGTGGGTGGGTGCATGTGAGTGGGAGTGGGGGAGAGGAAGAGACAGAGAGAAGGGGAAATAACTCATAGTATTCACTTAAATTAATTTTTAAAGTGTTTACATCCAAATATTAGAGCTGCCTAATGTGCTGTATTTGAATATAAATTAAATGTATATTGGCCAAAAATAAAATAAAAGCAGGCAAAGCAACGCAAAAATGCTCCATATTTCAGTTAGTTAATTATCTGCGCAATGCTTATTTGTTTTTACAAGCTACATTCTAGCAGGTCTGGATGTGTGACAATAAGTGCCATTGTATTGGGCTGCTTGATCCCTAAGTCTCGTGGCCTTTGCTTGAAAGGCCACAAGACTTTGAGATCAAGCAGCCCAGTACTGAGACCACTTTGAAAATCAGTGTGAGTCTTCATCCTGCACGAGTTGAAAGTGCTCTCCTTTTACTTGAATGGGACTTCTCAGGAGAAATCGTCACTGACTGCAGTCTCATGTGCCAATGCTAGAGATGTGTGAGGAATCCCCTTTGGGTGGAAAACTCGCTGGGTATCCTGGTTTTCAGCTTCCAGGGGTGCGGTCCTCTTTGCAGTGGCCCAGAGTCTGCATTCCAGGTGAAAGAATCTTACATTCTTTCTGTCCCATTTATGAAGAAGTTTGCAAATTTTCAAGATTCCTTTTTAAGTAGCTGAACAGAATTCTCATCCATCCTTACCCAATTGTAACTCCCTGCTCATTCTGGTTGCCCTTTTCTGCCCTCCATCCAGCCCCTCAGGGATAACCAGACACTGCCCTGGAACTCTTCCTGTTGAGGCCTTCTTGTAAAGATAGGTCAGCTGGGAGACCCAGCAAATGGGAAATCCATGTTCAAGGTCATAAGCCTAATTTTTATCAAACCATTTAGAGGTGTGGAAAGACCAATGGATCTGTGGAAAGAAACACCCAGCTATGCCCCTCTTTGTGTTTTCATCTGCCCTGCACACACTCCTTTCTGCAGTGGTTTTGCATTGCCTGCAGCTTATAACTCAATCTTCATGCCTTCTAGTGGGGGCTCTGGGAGTTCCAGTGAATCTGAGAGCAGTTCCGAGTCTGATTCAGACAGCGAGACCAGCTCCAGTGACAGTGAATGCAACGAAGAGTCACGCAGCGGAACACCAGAGGTAAAAGCGAAGGTCTCTCAACCTCCCTTTCCAGAATTCATTGGTCTGCTTCAAAATGGCCTCTGAAAATGAATCATTTCATCTGGTTGTAACTGCAAAACCTCTGTACCTGGGAGGCAATACTTCATGTAGGTTGGCCCATCAACCAGGACAGCGGAAGTGACCCACTGTTGGGTTGTGCAGGCCAGTTGCTAGGAGAGCTAAGACCAACTCCACCCCAAGAATTAGTTTATTTTAGCCATGTGTCTTAGGAAAACAGATAATTTCTGCACTGTGTTCTGTCTACATACATATCCAAAAGAACAGGGTTCCATTTATCAGTTAAAGTCTTCCTTTACTCAGACAACTCTGCCCATATATCTTTTCTTTCCCTTCAAGAGAAAGAAAAATAAAAGGTGCCTTAATCCACCTAAGTGTTATTGACATATGTTCACTATTACAAAAATTAATATCTCATGGTAAAGCTTACGACTGCAAAGGTGCATTCCAGGAGAATCTTTTCTGCGGTGAGATGATTTCACTGTCTGCTTGTCAAAGAGTTCTACCTCTAGTACTCCCTCTCTCTGGTTCTCTCATAAATAGACTTAGAATGCATACAAAAGATATTGTCCCAAACATTCATTCCATAATACCTAAGATACTGGATGGTGGAGGACAGGAGAGCCTGGAGGAATGCTCTCCATGGGGTCATGATGGGTCGGGCATGACTTTGTGACTAAACCAAACCTAAGATAATTATCTCAAAATGTCTGCATTAACAGAGCATTTTTAGAAGAGATCCAAAGCTCCACAAACTGCTCGTTAATTTCCAACCATTATCGAGCAAGGCAAGAGGCCACTTCAGACCATTGACTTGGGTTGCTTCAGTCCATTGTGTGGAGCAGAATGAGGGTGCATCTGTGCTCCGTACCCACCCAGTGCATCATTCCTGCTAAGGCCACACGTGAAGGCGGCCCGAGCAAAGCCGATGTCCACAAGTGTGGTTCTCTCGTGGAGCCATGGCTTGGAGGGATGCAGCACCGGTTTCTGGGTTATTAATAGCAGGAACGCTGCCATCATCTCCCACCATACTCAGAATCCCCTGCTGTCTCAGGGCTTAGTTGCAATGGTGCCAGTAGATGGGAGGAAATGAACTATCCCAACAAAATTTTGTTTCCTGCTGTGACACAAAGCTCCTTTCATTACGCCGGTGCTTTATTCCTATTACGCACGTTGTCATTTCATATAGGTTTTGTTAATAGCTGTTGGCTTGCAAGTGAGTGACATCTGAACTTTTTAAAACTGCTTCTCCATCATTTATCTTTCTACAGCCTGAACCCCCCTCAGCCAATAAATGGCAGTTGGATAAATGGTTAAATAAAGTCAATCCTCACAACAAGACGATTATAATCAACCAGCATGAGAATCACAGTGACAGTGGCACGCAGCCCCAGAACAACTCCCAGATTGAAGGACAAAACAAAGGGAAGCTTAATAGCGGCTTGCCTCCAACCGATTCCAAAGACCGGGCACTCCGTAGCCCCATCCGAGAGAAAGCCAAACCTCGCCTTGCCCAGAAAGCTCCAGCAGAAGCAAAAAGTTCTAAGCAGAAATCACCAGCTCACAACGAATCCAACCCCCAAAGGACTACTGGGAAAAAGCAACCCAAAAAGGTTGAAAGGACTTCCAGTGCAGAAGACTACAATTGGCCCAAACCAAATATTACCAGCAGCACACCCAAAGAGAAGGAAACGCAAGACATCCAAGAGCAGCCCAAAGTTCGCACAAAGGTAACTGCTGGGAAGACAGCTCCACGGAAAGAGCCAAGAATGACCACGGGCCCTGCTCTTGAGAAGAAAAAGTACCGAGGACCGGGCAAAACTGTCCCGAAGTCTCGGGAATTTGTGGAAACAGATTCATCCACATCGGATTCAAACACTGACCAGGAAGAGAGCCGGCAGGCCAAGACATTGCAAGGTTGCCCCGGCCCTGAGAATGGCATGAAAACCAAGGAGTCCAGTAGCAACCTCCTCAGCGTCAGCAGCTTGACCAGCAATGCCTCCATGGACCAAAACAGCAACGACTTGGAGGAGCCGCTCTTCTCGCCAATCCCAATTGTACAGAATGAACCCCTTTCCCCGCTGAAAGAGTTTGAGGAGCTCAAATACCTTTGGGTGAAAATAGACCTGACCCTGCTTTCACGGGTCCCCAGGCAAGACACCTTTGAAAACATGCCTGGCAAAGTGGAACCCCGAGAGGCCAGCACCAAGCACAGACGGCAGTCCCGAGAGTCCCCAACCCCAGCTGCAGAAAAAGCCTCCACTAAATCCAAACGGAAGCACAAGGTAAAATCTGCCCCCTTCTTGTCTGTTTTCCATTGATTTCCCACTTTTCTTCATTCCCCAAGACTTCATGGGATGACATTTCTATCGTAGACAATGGGGCTGGAGCAAATATGGGGTCCCCAGTCCCCGCCCCTTGTAGCGCTGAGGAGGAAACCTCCTTGCTTAGTCTCATACCCACCTACACCAGTGCCTCTGCTTTTGTGGCTGAGGATCTGAGGGCAGGGCGGTGACCTTCAGCAGCATGACGGAGCCATCAGAAAGCTCTGTGACTGGCCGAAGAACCGTGCACTGGGGGAAACAAGGTGTGACCCCTGAAAATTTCATGGGCAATGTGGGTAATGGAAAGGGACAATGTGTATCTTCCGAGGCCAAGCCGCATCTGCTTTGAGCCATAAAGCAGCAGAAGAGATCCCTTGGGGCATGCTGAGCTTGTAGGGGTGGGACTTGGATTCTTCACCTTGTGGGCCATGCCTGCCCTGCCTGGGGTCCCAGTTTGGTTCCCCGGGTTTGCCAGGTGGCCCTGCCTCCTTCCCCGGCCTGCCCTCTTTTCATGTGGTGGTCCCCCTGCCTTTGCATCGTTCCTTCACCCAAACTCAGAAAGATTGAAATGCCTGCCAGCCGAAATAGCTGTAAGCCAGCATTTTTGGCATTTCGTTCCACATGTTTTGCTTCCAGTCCTACCTACGAAGAAAATGTAACACCCGGGAGATTATTCTGAACTGAGTTCAGCCACTGGCCTTAAAGAACTATGCCACACCTGTTGTAAGTGGTGCGCTATGGAGTGTGTATTCCTCCAAGACCAGTTCCCCACTTCTCTGCCCCCTGCAATACCCTTTCAGCAGACTTGGGGGGGGGGCAGCCCTCAGAGGGGTGGGAATTGGACTGAATGAACACACCGCTGCACCTCCCTCTTTCAAGCCCATTCCCTGTACCCCCTTCCATGTCACTCCTGGACCGCACACTTCCTTGCAACCTGCCTCATTCCTAGCCCTGGTTGGCTGATGGCTTCTGCTTGCTCACTGCACATGGTGTTGCTCAGACTCTCTGGCAGTGCAAACCAAGCATGGAGTGCTCAGGCCCAAAAGTTGGAGGCTTTTCCAACAAGCTGGGGTGGGGACAAGGATCATGTGCTGACAATCAGGGAAAGGCCCCCAGACACCCAGTGAGCTAAGGGGGAACTGGAACCCAGCTCTCCTGAGTCCCAGCCCAACACTCTGACCACTACACCATGCTAGGAGGCCTCTGTTAGAATCGCCTTGCTGCAGCAGTCTCTGGCTTCTGTGGGATTTGTTCCATAAGCTTCTGTGATTTATCAAAATGCCACTCACTTAAGTAGCTGTTCTTTTTTTGGCAACAGTTACCTGTAAAGCAGAACCTGTTGTGACTCACTAGACAATGCTTTATCTTGTGTTGTGTGTTATTTATGCCCATGGGTATCCTATCATGTGGGATATGACAGCATGCTTCAAACTGAAATGTGTCTCTTCGAAAGGAAATGGAAGTTTAGATCAAAAATGAATATCTGCAGCTGAGTGGGACTTTTTTTAGCCTACCTGAAATGGCCTCACAGTGTAAAAACGGTTTCAGTACATTCTAAGAAAAAAAGGATCTGTAAGTCTCAAGAACTGCCAGGTCAGCCATCCGTACCATTTGCCTTCCAAAAATGCCAGTTTTTGGTCTGTAAGAAAAGACCTTCCTTCATCCCAGCGCTGGAGAAGGAACAGGAGGTTTACTGGCACCAGCCTCTGACCTGTGCCACAGACTCAAACTGGGGGGCTGATGTGACAGTGGGATGGAGTGGTGCAGTGTGTAATGCAAGCTGTGGTCCTTAGCCAAGTGGCACTTGTGTGGGGAAGCCGAGAGAGAGAGAGAGAGAGAGAGAGAGAGACCGAGGGTTGGGGGCGGGAGGGCAGAGAAGGTGGCAGAGAGAAAGAAAACAGAGGTAGCAGGAAGAGGGAAGAGGTAACAGAGTGAGAGAGGAAAGGGGCTGTCTGAAAGAGCAGGCAGAGAGAGAAGGGAACCAGGAGAGTCAAAACTCCTAGTGCAATACACTGGCCCTCCTGGATTTTCATATCAGCTTTCAGGCACTAAAAATTCAGTTTCCAGTTCAAACATTGCCAACAGCTAGGTTCTCTCTAACCTCTTGTTCAACATAAAGCTTCCATGTGGCTGCGCATAGCCTGCGTGGGCACCTTTTCACTGTGCGCAATGAACAAGGATGGGTTGTACATCTGGAGGGCTAGAGAAGACAGAGAGATGGATCTCAGCTTCAGAGCAAGTCATTCCTTATCCAGAGATGCATGGAAGTCACTAGAAAGGACTCAAAGTTACTGTGCATGTCACATAGGATATCTAAAGCTAGGAGGGCCAAAATACTGCACAGGTGCTAATCTGTGATCAAGTAGTCATGAATTCTTTTTTTTTTTTTTTGCAATCCCCAGTTGTGGTTTGGAAGCCACAGTTGATGTGGTTTTGGGAGTCTTTCAGAGGTGCACCTAATGATAGTTGCTTTCACAAATTGAATGTAAAAGCAATTTGCGGGGAAGGGGGGATAAATAGTATCAAAACTAGATTTTTTCAGCCCAATCATTTTGGCTGGACCCTGCTTTTAATTGCTTTAATGACCACTGACTGTGCCCTCTGGCATTCTTCAATGGTGGATAAAATTTAGTGCCTGTCTTTCCTAACGCCGTAACTCTTTGCTTTCTGTTGTTGTGATTGAAGCAGTCTGAAAGTGCGGACACATTTGGTGAAAACAAGAAGCAGCGCTTGGAGGAACCTTCAGCATCGTGTTTGCTTCCACCCTGTATTTCTCCAATACCCAACCACAGAATAACTGGTGCTAAAGAGTAAGTTTTTTCTTGATATTAAAATAATCCTTTACAATATGACTGGCAAGCCAAATGTTCTAAGGAAGCCGTCCCTTATGACTGATTGCTCCCTTTATGTAGAGGGACATTATGGTTCTTTAAAGAATTACATCACCTCTTCAGGGCCGCACTAGACTTCAGTCTCTCTTGCATTAATGGAATGCACTTTACATTCTTCATAGGTAACAGTATTGTTGTTCATACAACTAGACATATCCTTCCAGCTGAAATGCAAAGAAAGAATGCTGTATTTTTCATAAAAACAAATTGAAATTGCCTTTGCCGAATGTGTTCTCCTCTACTCTCTACGATGGGGGCAAACAAACTGGGACATTCCAGGGGACCAGTTCCAGTCACTGGACATCTCGGGGGCTGCACTCCTGCTGCTGCACTGCCCGCAACAGAGAAGAGTTGGCAGTTGGCCACCAAAACTTGGCAGCAGAGTGCTACAGAGACTCAAAAGGCCCACGTTTAGCTTGAAAACAAACGACATTTGGCAGTTTTGAGTCTCCATAGTAGCTTGCTGCCAAATTTCAGCAGCTAACCACTGATTTTCCACAGGAAGCATGGGGATGAACACCCTTTTAATGTTTTGCTCAGGATTGCATTATTCAGTCTTTGACCAGCTGCCCAGGAACAGTAGGAATGGGGGAGAAATTCATTTGGTCGACATTTTTAAATGAACCGGCATTTCCCATGTTAATGTGAAATCCAGACTGCAGATATCTTTCCTGTTTCACACTTTTCCAAATGTTCTGATCCAGGTCTCTGCTCAAACTATGCATGCAGAAAATATAAATTATGGAAATGTGTATACAAAACTGCATACATTAGGGGAAATGGCCTAGAAAAATGAATATATTAGGAGAAATGCATACAAAAATGTGTAAGATTTTTTTTCATTTTTTTTTAATCGTAGCCCGATGTGGAAATGGACTGGAGCTAACTAGTGCTTCAAAAAAAGTAAAAGTCTGAAGTGTGAGATGAGAGAGCAGAGAGTGACTTTGCTTTAAAAATGCTTTATAAGCCAATGAATCTCTCTCGCCCTTATTTTTCTTTAGGAAATTTTAACGTTGCTAATAATTATCTTTAAAGTCATCATTCAGGTTTTGTCCCCATTGTAACTGCCTTGATATTAAGGGATGCATTAATTAATTAATTGCATTTGTATCCCATCATTTTCCTTCCAAGGAATTCAAGGCAACCTACACAATTTGCCTCTTCCTGCTCTCAGTCTTATCCTCACAACAGCCGTGCAAGGTAGACGGAGAATCTGTGACTGGCCCAAAGTCCCCCAGTGAGTTCCATGAGTGAGTGGCACCTAGAACCCAGATCGCCTGAGTCCCAGCCCTGGGTCCCTCTTAGCCACTGCCCCACACTGGCTCTTTCCTTTTGAGTACTGTTCTTCAGAGCCAAGCAATATTCTTCTGCTGTCACAGATTAGTAATATTGATGTTTATTAAGGGAGCAGTGTCTTCCCCACCCTTGAGAACCAGGGGCTCACATGCATCCCTGCCTTAGTCTCTGCTCCCTCCATGCCTCGTACCCTGAACTTAGAAACATAGAAACAGAGCGAGTCAGAAGGGGTCTCCCAGGCCATCTAGTCTGACCCCTGGCTCCAACTTCCTCTGGGTGGCAAGATAGCATCCAGAGGCCACAGGACCTGCACTCTAAGTAACCCTCCAGCACGGAAGTCATTGCTTTTAAGCCCACTGTGAACTAAAGCCATCCAGTTCCTCATTCCTGTTATACCTGTGTAATTGCTCGCCCCATTTAATGCAAACCAATCCACCCAGACTGACCCTCCATCTCCCAAGTCTGAAACATTCAGATGGTTTGCATGGGACTGAATGATTTCAGAATGATGCAAATTGCTTCTGTGTCTTTCCTTTGATGCTTATCTTTTTCCAACAGTTACAACATGTATTTTTAAAAATCGTTTATTTCCTGCCTACATGAAGCTCTGGGGATCTACCCCCAACGTGATGTTTCTTAATTTGAGCTTGTTTTCTAGGTCATTAATTTTATTCCTTAGAGCTCAGCAACCATTGGTATCCTCTGTTAAAATATAATTGTGTTCATCAATAGTTATTTCCCCTATGCTTGCTCTCCATTCCCCTGGTCCCAGAAGCTTCTGGTTGCCAAGCAAAAAATTTGACTTTCTTATCTGTAATGTTTAATTGAGACCGTGATCACATTGTGGGGGGGGGGGGGGTGTTTGTTTCATTAGTATTCTCCAAGTTCATCGTTTGCCCTATCCATTTTGATCACTTTGACGAGACCGAAGGAATGCACACGTGCAAGTTCTGGAAAGGGGTAAAACTGTGAAACCAGAACACGTTGCACACTATAACAGATCCAAAGAAAGAAAGAATATAGGTAAAAGCTCCCAGCAAGAGACTTCCGTGATGCTATTATAAAAGGGACAGCCCTGCCTATGAGAAGCAGAGAAGCAGAGCGAGCCAGAAGGGGCCTCCTGGACCAACCTGTCTGACCCTGGCTGCAGCCTGCTCTGCTAATGTCATCCTCAACATGTGATGCTCAAGTTTCACTGATGGAGCCCCCACCACCTCCGTGGAAGCCCATTCCATATCCTAGAGGTCCTAACTATCAAGAAGTACTTCCTGGCATCCAACCTGAAACCTGGCTCCTTGAGCTTTGCCCCATTGGACTGTGTCCTTTCCTTCACTGCATGGGAGAACAGGTCACGGCTCTCCTCCACATGGCATCCCCTCACATACCTATAAGTTGCTAGAAGATCCCCTGAGATTCTCCTCTTCTCCAGGCCAAGAGGACCCAGTTCCCTCTATCTCATCCCATATGGCAGCCCCCTCAGTCTGGCTGCTATCCTTGTGGCGCTGCACAGAACTGATTCTAACCTAGCTATGTCTCTCTTATAATGTGGAGTCCAGAACTGGACACAGGACTCCAGCCGTGGGCGCACCAGAGTCTTATAGAATGGTACTAACACCTCTCTTGATCTTGAAACCATACTTCTGGCATGGTTTCAGGAGGCATTTGTCTTCTTATTTGCTGCATCACACTGCTGGCTCATGTTTAGCCTGTTATCAACAAGTACCCTGAGATCCCTTTCGCAAGTGCTGCTCTCCAGCCACTTTTCCCCCATTCTATACCCATGGCACCGATTCCTGAGTCCCAGGTGCAAGACTTTGCACTTAACTGCATTGAGCGCCGTCCTATTGTCCCCCACCCACTTCCACAGCCTGCCCAGATCCCTTTGGATCTGGAGTACCTGCTCCCTAGCTGTGGCTGTCACCCCCACTTTGCTATCATCTGTGAATTTGGTCAGCAGACTGGTTACTCCCTCCTCCAGGTCACTGATAAAGAGGTTGAACAGAACTGGTCCCAAAACTGAGCCCTACGGTTTCCTGGCTGCCATCCTGATAATTCCCCATTGATAGTCACCCTCTGCCTGCAGTCTGTCAACCACGCCCTAATCCATCAGACAGTGCATCAATCTATCCCAAAGCTCATCCATTTCTCAACCAGGATATCATGCAGCACCTTGTCAAAGGCCCTGCTGAAATCCACGTAAACCACATTCACCACATCCCTTCCGCCTAGCCACCTCAAAACCTTGTCATAGAATTCCACAAGGTCCTTCTGGCAGAAGCCATGTTGCACGGGTGCCAACTCCCCTTCCCTATCTAGGATTTCTAGAGCTTTCCTTATTATGAGTTTTCCCATCATCTTTCCCAGAACGGACATTAGGCCAACTGGTCTGTAATTCCCCCTGTCTCCTCTGCTACCCTTTTTGAAGACTGGGACCATTGACACTACCCTCAAGTCCTCCAGTACTTCTGATTTCCACAAGACCTCAAATATGAAGAGAGTACCCCTGCCAATTCTTGAAGTACCCTTGGATGTAACCAGTCAGAACCAAGCGCTTTTTGTAACATTCAGGGCCCTGAGGAGCTCCTCAACTTCGAGGGGAGGGACTCCAGTCTGTGCTACCATTACTCCAACCTCATCTGCCCCCCCCCCCCCGCCCCAGGTAGATGTCTCCCAACTTCCTTTGGGAAGAATACAGTAGCAAAATAACAATTTAACATCTGTGCCTGTCCCCTTACACCAGATCCCCTCTCTGACTTTTACATGGCCCCACTGCCTGTCTCCCCTTCCTATCACTATTTACATAAGAATAGAAGCCCCTTTTGTTGCCCTTGACATGCTTCATCTCACAATCAACTTTTGCCTTGCCGAGAATCCTTCTGCATCAAACCACCTCTTCCTGGTATAGCTTTTGTCCACTTGCCCAGTGCCCATTTCCTGTGGAGGTGCCTCTTCCTTCTAATCCCTCTTACTACCTCTCTTTGCACCCATGGTGGCACCCTCCTTTGCCTCCCTGGTGGCTAATCAGCAATATTTTTAAGGCTTACACTTCCAAGACCTCCCTTTTTAGTGTCATCTTTCCCTCCTGAATTCACTCACCTTCTAGTACGCTCTCCCAGTGGGGCAGAGAGGATCTGTGACAGAGAGAGTACCAAATGTAAAGTCTTCCCAGATTCATGCTGGCCAGGGCAGAAGGTGAGAGGAGCTTGTAATCCAAGCTCCCATCCTAGCAAAATGGGACATCACCGAAGTTCATCTGAAAGAATAAAAACATGTCATCCACTGTGGCTGCCTCTCTGGACCTGGAAGATTACGGGCATCCCATGAGATGCAAGAGAAACACAGAGGCTAGGTTTGCCCTGCCACCTGCTCACTGGCTTCTTTGATGTGTTTCTCCCCTGTTCCCTGGAATCCACACACAGACACACACCTGCTCTGAAGAGTCTTCCATATTCAAAGCCCAGCTGGTGTGAAAAGAACCATACCAACTGTGAGGGCAGAACGGGGCTCCTCCAAGTTCGATTCTCGGCTTGGAGTAGGACCCTGAGCAGACAATGTTGCAAGGCCATAGGGTCAGGCCAAAGTGTGTTGAATTTACAAGTGGCATGTAATCTGCATTATGTTGTAGTGGGATCACAACTCAGTGTTGACAAGGATACAGAGGAATTTTGCTCAGCCTGCACCTGATTTGCATTTCCTGGACTAATAGAAAATTAGTCATCCTTCAGTATTTGCATCTCTGAATTTTGCAACAGTGCAAAAAATAAAGTATATAAAATGTTCTTTTGGTTAAAAAAGTTCATTTTAGGGTAAGATGCATACAAAATATATTTTAAGAAAATTTAAATTATTAATGAATTAGGATTAAAATCCTAAAACCCTAAAAAATTAAAATTAAAACAATCTGCATCATCATGCTTTAAAAAAAATGCTTGTTGATGCCAAAATGGGATGAACGTTTGAATTAGCGTGTGCAAAACTGACACAGACTGGATGAGCAGTGCCTGGCAGCAGTGACCCATGCCCTGGTAACTTCCTGATTGGACTACTGTAACACGCCCTGCATGGGGCTACCCTTGAAGATGGTCCGGATACTTCATCTGGTTCAGAATAGAGCTGCCAGGTTGTTCTCAGAGAGCAGCAGGTATGAACACATAATGCCAGTCCTTTTCCACCTACACTGACTTCCAGTTGGACCCAATTTAAGGTGCTGGTGATGACCTATAAAGCCCTACATAGGTTACCTGAAGGAGTGCCTCCTTCCATACGTGCCTGCCTACCCCTTAAGATCTGGGGCAGGTGGCTTTCTCTAGGTGCCCTCCCTGAAGGAGATTAAGAGGGTGACTACCTGGAGAAGGGCCTTCTCTGCAGTGGCACCCCGATTGTGGAATTTGCTCCCCAGAGAGGTTCACCTGGCACCATCACTTTATTCTTTTCGGCGCCAGGCTCAAACCTTTTTATTTTCCCAATGGTCTGATTGTTTTAATTGCAGTTTTATGGCCAGTTGAATTGTTTAGGATGCTGTGTTTTATTTTACACTGATGCATTGTTTAACCTTCCCGAGACTTTGGGAAGGGACGGGCTAGAAAAGTTTTAAATAAATAAATGGGTGGGTGAGTGAGTGAGTGGATGGATGGATGGATTCATCCCTTCCTCCCATAGAGTGGAAGCAGCAATCCAGGCCTTCAGTCAGGAATCTGGATGCCCAATATTGCCCCGGGAATGTTCTCCCTAGAAAGCATGTGCTCTACTACAAGCACAGCACCCCCTCTAAGCCTTGCACTTGGTGCTCAGCAGTATGTGTTCTTAACGAAGTATTAGATAGATGTGACATTAGGGAAACTAGCAATGGAATTCCCATTTAGACAGCGGCAGTTTCTATTTGTGAATGGACACAATTAGGAAATAACTCAAATAGGTGCCACAATGATTAGAACTGGTGAAGTGATGCAACGTACCGCCAGGTGAGGCTATTGAATTTCCCCCGTTCAAGAAGGCAACCTGCTTCGCTTTGCTTGTTCCGCTTTGATTTGTTGCTTTGAGGTATTGTAAATCTATAAATGCCTGACACTGACTTAAATTGACTAAGAGGGAGACATAAATTCTTGTTGACTTAATTTGCTATTGAAAATTTGAGTCAATAATCATGAAAAGTAAATGGCTGTAGAATGCAATATGAGTTGTCTAAGGAAAGATTAAAATTCAAGTAATCTTCATTGACTGGACTAGGACAGTAACTAGAATATTTTTTTAAAAAATCCATGGTCAAATTAACATGTTAAGAAGTCATCTGGGTCTATCTGGATTTTTTGTGTGTTTCTTTTGGTTTTGACAGCTACTGTTTGCAGTGCAGTCTCTGTTTCTGGATGGTAGACACCTGTGTTTGCACTGGGTTGGCCCAGGCAGCACCTTGACTACATTGGCCTGCTCTGTCTTGGTACCCTCCAGAATTCCCAGCATTCCTGGCTTTTGCTGATGCTAGTCCCCAGTGACGGGAGAGCAGTAGGTCGGGCAGGAGTGTACTGCCTGCCCTTCTCCTCCATGGGGCAAAGGAGGTCCAGTGCAGTGTAGAAGTGACCAATGGCAGATACAGGGCCCCAGAAGCAAAGGGAATGTCACTGTGATAGACCTGGGAGCTGCCCCCAGCTGGGTGTAAAGACTGGCCCCATCTCTTGCATGTTGCAGTCTGCTCAGACAGAGTCACCCAGTTCTGAAAAGGAAGCAGAGGAGCAAAAGGGTAATGAGGACTTGGAAGGGTCAAGGTTACCTAGTGAATGTTCTCAGGCAGAGTGTGAGCATTAGTCTGCCTGGGAAAGACAGGGAGACATTTCAGAGCTGCAGAAGGAGGTGAGGGACATGGACTTCCTTGACCCAGTCAGGAGGTGACAGGTCAAGCAAGCGGACCAGTTTCCAAGTGTCCAACATTCCCACTGTCTAGCCTGAAAGCAGCTGAAAGACGCCCTGAGAGTGGAGTCAGACGCTTTGCTGAAAGGAAGGGAGAGAAATGAGTGGAAGTTTCCACTCAGATTCCTCTCTTCATGTGGACAGATGCTTCTTCCACTTCTCAAAGAGAACGCTACCCTGTTTGGTGCTGTTCGGTAACCAATTAAGTTGTGTTTCCAAAGTTTCATTTTGAGTCTGCTGAAAGGGAAGAAAAAGGGGCAGTGGCCTGCTCATGACATTGTTCTCCAAATGTTTTGGACTTAAGCTGCCTTCAGCCCCAGCCATCATGGCCATTGGCAAGGAATTCTGGGGATCCTAGTTCAAAACATCTGGAGGATGCCAGGTCAGGGTGAGCCGCTGATGTGACTCAGTTATGTAAGGTATGCCCTTCCGCAAGGCACAGCACCTGGACTTCAAGGGGTGGGCCTGCCTGAGGAATCTGGGGAAGGTCAGCAAGCAGGGGGCCTGGCACACCTCAGAAACGTGGTCCAGATGTGCTCGCATACCTGTCGAGCCAACCCCGGTCCTGACAACAGGTCTCTTCTTTATTCCTCGACAGCAACAACTCCATCAAAAAGGTGACCAAGAAACGAGAAGATAAGCTGTTTCCCCCGCCACTCTCCCCTCTCCTGGACGAGTCTGCACCTCGGCGGCACAATGGGAATGAGAACAGCTCCTTCAGCCAAGAGAACACCTTGCCCACCCCACCCCAGGCCAACGCCTGCTCCAAGCACCGGAAAAACGAGAGCAAATCCTTCCCCAATGTCAAAGGAGTCTGCGTAAGTCAAAGGAGTTCACGGAAAGTGAACCAGATAAAGCCAAAGAGCAAGTCCTGGTCCAGGAGCTTGACTGAGGTGCTGTGTTGATCGTGCCCTGTAGTGTCTGCTCCAAGCCTGCTAAATACTGCCAACCAACTAGGTATAGTCAGAGTTAAACTACACAGAGGGATTTTGTTGAATCCAGGCTGCCTGTGCTTTGCAGAATCTTGGGCTTCTTCCATTCCATTTTCTGCTCACGCGTGGAATGGAGAAGGATAGCGTGAATTTTGCTCCATTTACACAGGAGTGTGTGACAGAAGTTAGCTTTTGATTTACCCTGGTGTGAGTGCATCTGGCTCTGATTTAGCTTGGAACACTTACCTCTCCAGGAGGGGGAAGCAAACTTTTACCCACCACCATTTTCTCCCAATCCCCACACGGTGTTATTCCCAACCCTCCATTGATACCTTTTCCCCCCTTTTAACACTCCTTCCAAACACACCCACGTGGAGACTGAAGGAAGGAGTGGAGGAAGGAGATTACTCCTCTCCTCCAAGTGCACAGCATCCTGATCTGATCTGAATTGAATTTGGGGCCAAGAGTCTTCACACCAGAGTAAATAAAAAGCTTTAGCTACACACTACGCAGTTCGCACTTAGTTTTACTTTTGGTGGCTAAGGATGGGCCAGACTAATTATTTTCAGGCTCATCAGATTTCTCCTAAAGTTAACATCAAAGCTGTCTCAGCTTGCCCCCATATTCCCTTTGGACCTGTTTTCAAATAAACTGAAAAAGTGTGCCTATGGAATGGTAAAAGTGCACAAATTCTGTATTTTTCCATACGTGCATTCTTCTTCCATCAGCACCACCACCCCACTGACTAAAGTGTAAAGATCTGTATGAATTTCTTGAGGCTTGCAGAAAGAAAACCAGGGCCATCATCACCTTTCCTGATGCTCCACAATCCCTTTATTTTTATCAGCCACTTGATCTTATTTACCTCTTTCATGTATCATAGTACAGCAGCTCAATAGAATTTATCTGGTATTTCACAGTATGATTTCAGCTGTGTGTGTGCAGGGTGAGGGTCATGAATTATTTCTGAGCAGCAGCCCTGCTACTTATCCCCAGCTCCAGCCCTCGTCCTCGGAAACTTGCCATTCACCTCTTTACGTTTTTATTTTAATAAGCGAGCGATGCTGCAAGAGCACCCGTGCTGACATTACACCTTTGAGGAAGTGGCTATTAATGATGTCACGCATGCGAGTAACATTTCACTGCTTGGGCTTAATTAATCTACTGAGCCTGACTGATGACATGAAGTCCACGAGATGCAAAATATACGCCTGGATTTTAATTGCAAGACGTGCGGGCTTGCCTTACGTGACATGGGAAGGCATGGCTCTTATTTGCATGGAAGCAGAAGCAGCTAATGAAAATCATGTTTTCCAGGAGGAAGACTCCCACAGCAGGCCCCCAAACTCTCTGCTGGACAGGACCCACCTCGATACTGACATCTGGTCCAGCGCTCCTGCCTTCGCTGATGGGACCCCTGAGCCAAGAAGACCCAAAATAGCATTTGATGACATGTGAGTGGCATGCCCCAGCCATGGGCCAGCAACCTGGAAGTGCCCAGATTTGATTAAAGGGACAAGCGAGGCCAGCATCAAGAGTAGACATGGTTGGCTGGACAGCTGCCAAGGGCTCCAGCCCAGCAAGGGATCGTTGAAAAACCTCCGGGTGCTGCTGCTCCTCTCTCACATGCCATCCTGCTTATGTATTGGCCTCTGGTGCAAACAAGGGTGGTTGCCATGAGAGGGAAGAGTCGCAGGTGCCCTCGCTCCTTGCTCACCGGCTTGCTGCTTGTCAAGGCAGTACATGCCAGCGGTGTGGAGCAGCAGCAGCAGCAGGAGGAGGAGGAGGAGAGGTAGACTCACCAAGGGAGGCAGCCTGGAGGGCACCTTGCCCAAAGCATCTTTTTCCAATCCAGTGGTCATTAAATGCTACCGAATACAGATGTTAATCCAAGGGGGCACCACAATTTTTAGGAGAGGACCAAATGAGGCAGGACCTCATCTTTAAACAGCCACACACACCCAAGCAAGGTGTTTCAACCTCACTTAACGTCACCAGATGTTTGCTGCAGGAAGTGGCCGTGTAACTGCAGCCAGCTGTCGAGCCACCTCTGCTGATCCATCCAGTCTGGTCTGGCACTGGGACTTAGTGGATGCAAACATCAACCAGAAAAACAGGAGGAAACAGACATCAGCTACATATAAGTGCACAAGCTCCAGCAGCACATGTCAGTCAGCCGGGCTGAATGAGCTGGTGTCAAAAGCTTACAAGGTGTGTGGCATCAGCTGTACGTGAGGCCAAAAGGAGACTCATGGCCAGAGTGCCTCTGTCAAGAACTCCCTTTCTCAGGTTGCCATGCATCAGATCTCAGGCTAATGTTGTCCCATCAACAGTAGTGCCACTAGATCTGGCAGGCAGATAAAGGAAAAGGTATTCCATCAGGTGTCCAGGTTGCAAGCTGCATTGGGTCTTGTATGTTGGAATAAGATCAGTGCATGGGGAGGGAATTATTTTCCCCCTTCCTGTGATTCCAGTTAAAATTCCCCCTGCTGAAGCTCTCAGGACCAGGAGGTAAGCCCCCACTGGTGTGAATGGAGCTTAATTCCCAGGCCTAATATCAGCTTCAGGAAAGAGTACATGGTAGGCATGTCGTGAGCGGAGCCGTCTAGAGCTGGGGGTCAGACTAGATGGCCCGGGAGACCCCGTCTGTCTCGCTCTGTTTCTATGATCAGGACTATAGCATGGGGTGGGGAAAGGTCATTGTCCCTTCCCATGTGCCATGCTCAAAGTCCTTTCCCATCTTCAAGCCATTGCTGTTTAAATGGTAAGAATTCAGGGGTGTTCCCTAGCCCAGCCGCCTGAAAGACTTTTATTTAAGGGGTGTAGAACTTCAGGACAAGGGGCCAAATTTGATCTTCCATCCAGTCCTGTGGGCATCCCCAGACAGCTCCACCCTGTTCCCTAAAAGTCCACTGCCCCAGCCTGTGATTTTAGGTGGCTTTCCAGCTTTGGTGAGGTTCCATTCCAGTTTCTGAGAGTTATATGACTTTTCTTTCTCTGGAAAAATGTGCACATAATTTATAAACAAGCAGGTTTGTTTATTAATTGATGATTGTGTTCAGAAGGACCTTGTAAGCTATTTCTCTTTCCTGGATATAAAGATATAGATATATGATTTTGTATTTTAGGGTTTCTAATGGAACCCGGCCCTGGTTAATCACTTTGCATTGTATCTGGTTTTTTCTCTTGTTCTGTTTAACAGGCCCCTTTGGGCTTCGCATTTCCACCATGAGCCCTTCTGCAGCCAGTTCATCAATCACATCTTTGCACCCAGCAGCACCGTACCGAGAGAAACAAATCTATACATGCATCCTATTCGGCTCGAAAGCCAGTCAGGGCTTCTAGTCAAATATTTCATAAACTCTGCAGATATAAAGCTTAACCATGGTTTATCTTCCCCAACATTGGTTAAACATTATACCTAAGTAGCTAAACCATGACTAAGAACTGGAGGCAAAGCAGGGAGGAAGCTACTGACTAAGTCCTCCTTTCTGTTCATAATAGTTAAGCTTTACATCTGCACTGAGCAAGGCATCCCAGTGGAAATTAACTTGCCGTTTAACTCTCTCTGGTGTCTCCAGGTCTTATCAGTGTCTCCTGATACTCTCCCTGTGGGAGGAGAGGCCTCCTTCAGGGTGTTAAACCACGGTTCTTCATCAAAAGGCAATGTAATGTGATGTACTGAGTAGAGTATCACATTTGGATGAGGGAAACCCAAGTTTAAATGCCTGCTTAGATAGAAAAGTCATTTATTTAAGCACTTATTATATTTATATCCCAACCTTTTTCCTGCTACGAGGATCCCAAATGTTCCTCCCCCACTCAATGTTATCCTCACAACAATCCTGTTGGGCAGAGAGAGGTGAGGCTGAGACACAGTGACTGGCTCAAAGCCACCCAGTGAGGACTAGGACCTGCATCTTCTGCCTCCTGGCCCAGCATTCTGACCACTTTGCCACACTGGGGCTCTTGGGCCAACCGTTCTCCTACCCTAACCTACCTCGCAGCACAGTTGTGTGGAGAAAGTTGGTGGGGGGAAGGCGTACGCGGTACCCTAAAACCCTTGGAAGATCGCCCGGAAGTTGGAACATGGTTTAGGAGCTAGAATGAAGACGGGAATGAGCCATGGTGACCATTACGAGGATACTGAAAGCTCATCTGTTGTCGCTCCTGCCTTCTTATTGTTCTTGTTCTTGCTCCCTTAGGCTTCACAATGCAGATTACTACATGCAAGAGGCCAAAAAGCTAAAGCACAAAGCAGATGCCCTGGTAGGTGTCCAAACTGGTCAGGTAATTCAATACTGCAGTGCAGCTTGGATCAGGATAAGAAGCCAGAGGACTGCTGCTAATTTGCATGCATTACGAAGGCATGCAATTAATTATGCTAATTATTGGCATGCAGTGCCATTAATTAACAGGATCTGCACATCACTGACAGTAATGCAGCATCCCCAGATTCTATCTTCTGGCCAAATGATGCCTGTCAGAAAGTTCCAAGTTGGATTTTCCAGTAAGCCAGGAAAAGATTGATCTCACAGAGAGGCAGAGGCTTGGGGAAAGGCCCTCTGGCTTCAGGCATCCCATCCAGTAGGGAAGGCAGGTTCCATCCCTGCTTAACTTAACAGTAGCATTCAGTGCAGTTAACCGAGAACTGCCCGCACTCCTTCTGTCTGCAGCCCAGGGCTCCAGCTCCCTGCCAGACCAGAGTGAGTTGCTAAAATCTGATCCAGTGGAGAAGGAGAGTGATGGACACAGGACTGCCTGCTTCGGCAGCATCCCTGTGGTTCTTACCATCCTTAAACTGAGAGTCAGTGTGGTTCAGCACATGGGGCAGCCCACTCCAACCAGGTGCCCTGAAGATTTGCTGGATAAACCTGCTGCATTACTCCAGGCCAGGCTGTCCTCTCCTTCTCATCCAGTATCACCAACACGGACTGGCAGACACTCCCACCCCTGGGTTTCAGACAGGAATCCTTCTCCCCTTTGCCCTGCGATGCCAGCCACTGAACCTGGCGGCAAGCGGGTGCTCCACCCTGAGCAACGGTCCCTGCTTGGCCTCCCCTCTGCCCATCACTGAACTGGAAGCCTTTTTGGTGTGCCTGATTGCAGGAGGGGGCCATGGCTCTGTGGTGCAGCCCCTGCTTTGCATCCAAAACTTCCTTGGTTCAATGCCTGGCAACTCCTGGTAGGGCAGGAAAGGGTCAGCCTAAGAGAAGGACACTTGGACTGACACAGGCTCAGGGGCGAGGAAGGATGCTTTGCACTGAGATGGCTCCAGGAAGCAAGCTGTCCTCACTCCCATGGCTGAAAGACCTGCGCAGGAGCATGCATGCTGTGAAGCTGCTGGTCCACGACCTCCTTTCCATAAGCACATATTTCCAGGCACAGGTTCATGGCTGCCAAGACGCTCTGTGCTCCCACCCGCCTGCCACTGCCTGCATCGCCAACCTGTCAACAAGTCTTCTATCTTGCTGTGTTCCCCTTCTGGAAGAATTCAGGGTGCTTCTCATGCAGCACTAACAGAAAGAGGCATCGTGCATCGCGTTGCTGCCTGCAGGCAGCTCTTTCCTGTCGTGTGTTGTTTGATGTCCCTGGTGCTTCACGGGAAGGCCAGGGCAGATGATGTTGAAAAAGGTGTTGCAGCCTTGTATGACCACAACATACAGTATCTCCCACATCTTCTTCCTTACGAGGACCATGCCTAAATTTGACCCCAGTTTCACACCATCCCTGAGAACGCCCATCTTTTATCCCAGGCCATCCCTCTGTGTGCTTCTCTTTCTTTTTAACCTGCACAGCACTTTTTGCTTCAATGAAAATTGCAATACCAGGCCAAACGAGGGAATGGGAATTAATAAAACAGGCCTGAACACGAGCCTGAAACTGAACCCTTTCTTCCCCTGCTGGGAAAATTGCTCCTCTGATACTGCTATTTGCGTTGGGCAGAAACCCCGCAAAGAGTAGGTTTTTAAAAACTGCTTCTTAGATGCAAAGATGCATTTAATATCATGTCTAGTTTGTCCTTAGTTCCAACAGGCATAGCCTTGGATAAAAAGGCGAACATGCAGATGAGGTTCAAAGGCATTTTTTATTCTGGGGTGAAGGAGGAATGGATAAAAGATATTTGAAGTTGGGATGTGGAGTCTGTTTCAGCCTACAGGTGAAATTCCATTCCAGGGAAGTTCTTTCTAGTGGTGACCAGGGCAGAATGCAAATGGTGAGGCCCAGAATAGCAAAAATGCTGATATTTTTAGCTTACATTTCCTACTTTCTGTAGCTAAGGATTTCTACCTTTCTGGGGGCTGCACAAAAGAAGGTAAGGCCATCTACCGAACCCCAGTGCACCAAGTGTGGCCCCCAGTCCAGAGGTTCTGCACTTCTGTTTTAATTCCTCCCTATCACAGCAAACATGAGGAACTTCATTCAGACAGCGAGACAGATCAACAGGCACGGATTCCCCTTACTGGACTCATAGTAAGACTGCAAGAGCAGTCCCTGGGTTTGGTATTTTTTTAAAAAATGCTCCGCCCTAATGGACCATTGCATTTTCCATAACTGCATGCCAATCTTGAAGTCAACACTGGAGCATTATCTTGAATAGGTTCCTTCTTTGTTTTTTCAGCTGGAAAAGTTTGGTAAAGCTGTGAATTACGCTGACGCAGCCCTTTCCTTCATTGAGTGCGGGAACGCTATGGAGCGCGATCCATTAGAAGCAAAATCTCCATACACCATGTACTCAGAGACTGTGGAACTCATCAGGTTAATGTCTTTCCTGTGATCATTTTCGTAATCTCATTTCACTCATAATTAGAACTTGCTACGTTTTTTAAAAGTATCATTTCGACCTCATTAATGATCAGTCCAAGGCATCTTCATCTCAGAAGTCATCATAATTAGTTCTTCTTGCCATTTTATTAATGTCACAGAAAATTTATAATTGATGGACACTGCTCTTATAAATTAGCCCTGTTAGAGGTTATAATGTGTGTGTTATATAATTTGCAATATTCATAAAATTAAAATTGAAATGTAGTGGGTGGAAGTAAAGCATAGTAATTTCACCATTTGGTAATAACACTTGTCTTTTAAAAGGGGTACTTTTATCTTTCCAAACATTAAAGGGAGTCCACTGGGATCTCTGTTATAAACCCTGTTTTCTGGAGCTTTATAATTTGGCTGTAAAAAATGGTTCCAGAATGAAATTTGGCAGGTTACGTTGCAGCTTGCCAGCACCCATTTTGCAGAGATGTGCACAAAATGCAACTAAATTCAGCTTGCATTCTGCAAGCATAAGCACCCATCTGTTTACTTACAACGTGTATCTACTATTCTATAATATAATATAATATAATATTTTCTGACTGATGTGAGATTCAATTTTTGATTGTTCCTGTTACATGGATGACAAAAGGCTTTGGCAGGGGTGGAAGGTAGTCACCTTCTACCCTTTTGTTTGTTTCAGAGTCTTTTGACACTCCTTGTTTCCCTAATTTGCTGGTTCAGCATCATTTTTTTTTCTGTCTTGAAAAGACTTCTTCACCATGTGATCCCAGGCAATCAGTGAGCACAGTGCTAGGCAATCAGGGATCACATAGTGCATAGGAGGGTGTCACAGCATCCCCTTCCAAATCAGATATGATAGAGCAACAAACAGAGCAAATATGGTGGAAGAAAAGAATGTGCCTCTTGGCCAAAAAGTATCAGGGAAGGGGCCCCCACCCTGCCATGCTGCACAGGTAGTTTCATTGCCTGCCTTTGCAAGCTATTTGTGGTAATACCCTTGAAATGTTTAGCAGAGGCAGAGAAGGCATGACCAGCTGAGAAAGAATGGAGATGGGCAACAGCACTGCACTGAAACTAATCTTGTAGAGATTGACAAATGAACGAATGCCTCGGAATGCACATCTGTGTTAACTGGTATGACTGGGTTGAGAGGAGGAACCTTCATCCTTGAGAAGAGAAGGCTGAGACAGGCCATGATATCCCTTTAGAAGTACCTCAAAGGTTGTCAAAGAGGAAGGTCAAGCTCTCTTGCTGATGCCAGAGTGTAGGACACGGAATAATCAGCTCAAGTTGTGCAAGCCAGATTCTGGCTAGATATCAGGGAAATCTTCCTCATTGTGAGAGCAGTATGACAGTGCAACCAGCTGCCCAGAGAGGTGGTGGGCTCTCCCACACTGGAGATATTCATGGTGAAACTGGATGGTCATCTGAGTGGGATGGGGTAACTTGGGGACCTGCAACAGCAGAGGGATGGACCCAAGGGCCTTCATGGCCCCTTCCAATTCTGCTATTCTTTGATCAGTCATGTGACTTCTCAGCAGGGATATATTCCTTTCTTCACCAACGTCCAAACATTTCACAAACGGATCTGAAAATAACCCTAACAGAGGAACAAATTGTTGGGATAGAAAGAAGAATATTCATGAAATGAGCTTACCATTCTGATTTATCATTGCTAGAAATTGCTCAGTGGTCATTCAGACATGTGGCTAGTTAACAAGAATACTGATATTCCATTTTATGTGTGACTTTGCTTACTTCACAGTGAACAGATATTTTTCTCCATTTGGAGCAAAATTCTGACCATTAAATTTCAAGATGTCCTATTTTCAGAATTGTTTAAGAAAAACAGTATGTATGTGTGCATGCCAAAATTCGGAATCCTAGACCTTGTGGAGAAATACCTTTGTCTTCAAAAGATTTTGCAGGTTTCTTTCTCCAGGGGGATGCAAACAATTGTTTTTGGCTAAATTAAAACTGCAGATAAACAGAGTTCTGCTGGTCCTTTATTGTTCTATTTATGACAAATATGAGATATTGATAATGTTGCTGGAGTCATTCATAGTTCTGTCCCAAAGTCATCTTTATTCAATTTGCTTTAATAGAAGCAAATTTTCTTAAAAGAAGCTGAGTCATGGCAGATATAAAGCTTTTGTCATTTATTTTTATTGACCAATAGGTTTATTTGCCATATTTCTAGCCCACCTTTCCAAGACCAATCACAAGATAATTAAAGAAGAGTTAAATATCATAATCTATATGAAAGCATGACCTAGAAGCAGCTAAACAAGTACATTGACACCCAGCTCTCCAATTGCCCAGCACTGGGGAAACTGTGACCCTCCATTTCCCTTAATCTCTGATCACTAGCCATGCTGACTGGGGCTGATGGAAGTTGGACTACAGTAACATCTAGAGGGCCATAGGTTCCCCACCACTGACCTGTTCAGTGACCATTAAGAACAAGTGGGCCTGACCAATGGCGAGAGGAAACCCATTGCTGAAATCCATTTGTTTGGAGCATCACATCTCAGGTCATCTCTTCACAAAGGACTCTGAACTGAATTCCCAGTTCTGGTTCGGAAGCAAACTATGGTTGACCAAAATCATGGGTTGCCTCCCCAGGAAATATCAGCAAAGAACGATCACCTTGACCCGGGATAGAGGGGAACCCTTGCATAGTTTAGCTGTTCAAAAAATGTGGATGTGGTTTTTTTTTCCTAATCCTTCACATTTCTTAAGCAGCTGCTGACAGCTGAAACGTATCTCATTGTGGTGTATTATTTTGGAGTGGATGAATAAGTGCGGTCCATACTATTGTACTTGGGGTTGCCATGCAAGAGATCACGTGATGCTGCAGCCATCAGATGCATCAACCCAACATAGAGAATCAAGCAAGGCACCCCCACCCCACCCCCATGTGAACTCACTCCCGCTATGTTCAAACTCTTGCCTTAGTGACATAGATTTTTAACATGGAAGAATGCAGTGGAGGAGACAACCAAGAAGCATCAATAAAGGAATAGTACACGCTTTGCATTATGAATGAGTATTTGTTTACATAGCAGAAATGTACCAGATTTGAAAAGAAGCTGTTATCTTTGGGGAAATAATATGCCTTGTAAATATTTCAGAATGTGTATTTGCATGCAGCTCTGGTTGAAACAGAAAGGAGCGACTACAAAGGAGGTTGCAGTTCGGCAGAATGAGCCTATGTAATGTCAGATCATAACTAAACCAGACCTGTCCTACTGTCCCCTTCGCTCTGGTCGCCCTAAATTGTAATGCTGTTCCTTATACTGTTTTGCAGTTAATGCTGTTTATAGCTCCATCTGTGTGGATTGCCCTTTGCAGAGTAGCCTACACAAGAGTCAGGCCTCTGCGCCACAAAACACACCTTTTCAATCTGGAGAACACCACAGGGAGGAGGGCTCAAGGTAACCAAGGATAGAAGCAACCAAGCACCATTGCATTTTACTTAGGGTGCTGAAGACTGAAGTGGTTGGATCAAACCTCACATGGAGGAATGATGCCACAGCCTATAACCCCACAAAGCTGGAAGTAGCATCGCAACCAAGCTCCTTGGAATTCATCCCTCTTCAGTTTGTGGACTTCCTTTCAGGCTTGGCCCCATCTTAGAAAGCGAGCTGAGCTTATGGAACAAAGGCAGTGTAACGGGCAGCCTTCTTCCACATCACATGCAACACAAGCATAGGTTGCAATTCAGTGCATGTAAGAAAGACGTGCTTGAGCACCACTCGTGTGGGGCTTGACTCCAGGTGTGCAGCACACAAGTTCTGGGCACACTTGCTGGGAAGTTAGACCCACAGCCATGAGAAAGAGGGCTGAGCTCCAGGGAGCCAAGCCCAGGAAGTCCAAGGAGTTCCCACCCCAAAGCAGATTCCTTACACTGCTTGGAGAATCATGGGCATCCTACAAAAGGTGTGAGGGACTCTGAGGCAAGGGTGGCCCTCTAAGACATAGGTGGCCCATTTTGGCCACCTGCAGTGTTGACCCCGCTTGCCAGGATGGCAGGCAGAGGTGCTGCCAGGATACACCGTATGGGGACAGAGTCCCACGCTCCCCACCCCAGAGTGCCCACACACCAAGATGGAGAAATCTGAGCACGTTAATCTCCCTGGCTGTGGGGTGTAGCGCTTGTTCAACGGCAAGTCCCACTAGCCACGCTGCAGCAGGCGCATGGGAGGGAGGAGAAGGCCGTGTTCCAGCGTCTCTGATCGGCAGAGAAGCAGTTAAGCTGATGGGGACCTCAGGAAGGCCTCGGCCGGCCCGTGGCCTCAGGGCACCCACCCCTGCTTTAGAGAGGGGGCGAGTCGAGTCGGAGTCTCATTTGCCCCTTTGTCTGCCTCACTCACAATCTGTCCTGCTTATCTCAGAGGCAGAAGAAACAGTGCAAGCAAGAGGTATTTCTCACCTAGCAGACCTTTCCTTTTATCCGTTTGGCTAATTATAACTCTTCAGAAGCTGGGACGCATGCAAATGACATTGATTTGTGAGAACGAGCGATGCATCGCAGAGACTCGGGATGCCAGAAGTATGACCGCCAGGGCTGTTCAGACTAATTGCATCTTTACATCCCTTCCCTGTTAAGATCACATATCCTCGACAGATATGAATCTTTGTTGTCTGGCCTGACCCACCAAGTATGACGGGGGCAATCATCCAGCGCGTGAGCGAGAGACAGGAGGGTGCTGAACTAAAAGGATCTTATATATGGAGCTCATCATGTGGGCGATTACAGGGGCAGCAGTGCCCCGATGTAGCGAAAGCAGCGTAGTTCTCCTGCACTTCATTACTCCCTTGCAAATGAGGCCGCCCGAACACCTTAAAACTTTCTTACGCAACACTGAACCCCATTACTTATTCTAACACAAGTACCTGTGAAATTGTATTAAGGTGCAGAACAATGGTTTTTATATGATGATTTGATTTCAGAAGGCGAAATGCATGGAAGGCTGAGGGAGGGGCTGCCGCGTTTCCCTGGGAAAGGGGAGGTGCAGGGGAGAGGAGGAAGGGGGTTTTCCTGCTCTTTTTATCCTTCCAAGAGAGCCAGGGAGAGTTGCATGGAAGGGGGCCTGGGGCTGACTTGCAGGGCTCATGCGTTGCACATACAAGCTTGAGCACGCACCCAGAAGTGAGGCTGGGCACCAGCTCCTGATTTGCAGGAGCTTTAATGTCTCTGTCAATGTCTTTGAAGGACCCTGTTTCCTAAGGTTATCCCTATTTGTAAAAGGCCTAAGGAGGAGATGAGGGCATTCAATTTCTGGGGGTGGAAATCTCAGTCCGAGGTGAAACATGCGTGGTCACAGAACCAGCTAATCCAGCGGGGGCTGATGCAGCTGCAGTGGCCCAGGGACCTGGACCTTCATTTCAGCCATGTTGTGTGGGCTGCAAGCTGGTGGGCAGAGGTCCTCCCAGGGATACAGGGCTCTACACAAGAGCTCCAGGCTGCCCCTAATACCACCTGCAAATACAGCTATGGTGCTGGCACCTCCTACTTAAGGGACATGAAGGCAAAAGACTGGAAAAGATACTTGCCAGATTCTCTGGAGAGACATGGCTGGTCCCAGTAGGAAAGCTAGCGAATAAAAGACAACCTGGTTTGGTAAAAGGCAGCCTCAGGAATTCATGACGCAAAATACACCAGCTTTACAAATGATTAAATGTTAGGCACCAAGGAGGGCCTCATAGGGTGGCATAGACCAGTCCTCTGTTTGGTGGGCTGCCCTTTCTATTTCTGATTTAAATGATACAGCACCTCTAAAACTGCTGCCCAAAAGCAGAATGAATGGGCAGGCACAGCTTTCCACACTGCAATGGGATGGACTGCATTGCTATTGACATTTTAACTTCTTTAGACGTGTGCATGTGTATTAGCCTGTGCAAATGCTGTATGCCAGGCAGAGGGAGCAGAGGAAGGCATGGGTGGATTCACAGGATCTCAAGCTTTCCCATTCCCCCAGCAGGCCTCCAAATTGGTTAAAAAAACCTGTGCCAGTCCTGGAGCTGGCCTAGATTCATTTCCTCCCGCTGCAAACCATGAGAAAGAACCAGGAGCTAAGGAGAAGATAATCCAGCAAAAGTGGGAGGGAGAAGAAAAGCATGAACCAGCAGGACTTGGGATAGATCAGAGCTCTCAGGCTTGGTTCTCCTCCTAGCAATTTCTCCATGTTAGCATTGCTTGGCCCATGTGACCTGGACAATCTCTCCCTCTCTGCAAGGATGTTTCACCAAGATGAACCTATCTACATTTCGAAATCATCTACTGAGGCTCTTCTTAGGTTTCTTTGTTTTATGTGCTCTTACATTTTATTGATTATTTTGGATGTCTCGTTATTTTGTCAGGATGCAAATGCTGCAAGGCAAGAACCGCACTATATATGAAATAAAATAAGTATTTTTCATGTCATTTGCTGTGGGAAAGGAGCTCATAATTGACATGGGTTTTTCCTCGTTTCTTGGGGCTGAGTGCAGTTCTAAGGAAGCCATTTTTGCCAAAGTCTGTCATGACATGAGTGGGACCGGCTGGAGCCAGGAGTCAGACTAGATGGCCCAGGAGGCCCCTTCTGACTCACTCTGTTTCTATGGTTATTCATTCCTTGACTTATAGGCAACAGTCTACTGAATCAAGAGTGGCTTACAGTAGAAGGTTGAAAACAGGACGATCTAATACAGAGTTCAAAGAAACATGTTGTTGTGCCATATCTGTTTTACCAGACAGTGATTTCTAAATGTCACCTGGATTTTCCCAGACGCATCAGTGCTAACACTCAGTATTTCCCTTTCCCACTCCCCTCAAATCTCTCTCTGAAGGTATGCAATGAGACTGAAGAACTTCACTGGCTCCTCTGCCACGGAAGGAGACAAGAAGCTGGCAGTTTTATGGTGAGCTGATGACCTTTCTAAAGTGTTTAAGTAGGGCTTAGCAGCACTGGGCTGCACACACTGAGACCCAGACCCAACAAGGGTCCCAAGGGAGCTGAGCTGAGGTGGGGGATGCTCTCTTCCCCCAGCTGAGTGGCCTAATGGATGTGCCCACACCTGCCAGTGTTGCAGGATACCCCGTGGCACCAGTGCTCCTCCACACAAGCACCAGCTGTGGCCCATCTCTGGCAAAGCGCCTAGCATACCAGTGGCTGCCCCAGTTGGGAAGCTGAGTAGCACCCAGTGGGAAATCCTCAGGTTCCTCATGAGAAATAACACGGGGTTCCTCCTCCCGCCTCTTCTGGTCACAACCAGGGCAATGGAACTGGGGGCAGGCAAAGGGGTACCCCGTTCTCTCAATCAGAGAAAATTGGGCAAAGAGAGCAGGAGAGTCCAGCCAGCTTCCTAAGTTAGATGCCTCTGCTAGACACCTGTGGGTGTAGCTTGGGTAGGAGGTAGAACCTGTGGAGGAAGCCACACTCTCCACCAACTGGATTAGGAATGTCCACGGACCAGATTAGGCTTGTGGGTCAGAGGTTTTCCTCCCCTGATCTAGAGCTGCCTAATGTCATGCAGATGCATGTTTTTTACGTCAACCCCAATCATCACTGGTTGCAGCTGATGGAAGTTGAAGTCCAAACTATTCCCACATTGGTGACAGCTTCTCTGTATTCTTCTGCCTTTCCTTCTTCTCTGTGACGTAGCTTCCTTCTCCAAGCATACAGGCCATAATAAGAGCAAAGGGGTGAGGCACCAGCCTCCATCTGCCTTGCAGTCACCCTCTGGGCAATGCTACAGATTTGTTCCAGAGGGATACCATAAGCAGACAGGTGATACTGTGGCTCCAGTGCTGGACCAAGTCAAGAGAAACTGGGATTTTGTCTTGCTCATCCTGGAAGCTCCTTGGGGGGACACAATCGCCCCATCCCAGCTGAACCTATCTAACACAGTGTTTGTGAAAACAGAGGACCATGGGCATACCCCTGAATTCTTTGGAAGCTTTCACAGCAACATTTGGTGTTTTAATTCACTATATGCTACTCCAGTATCTATTGATGTGGAACAGTTTGTAAATACACAACTAATAATGCCATGAGAAATAGAGCATGCAATCCAACCAAAATCATGGATTTTTCCCTGCTGTTCTCTTGAATGAAAGAGTTAAGTATGTGTTTAATTCTTTCATCTAAAAGAATGATGCATGTGCTTAACTTTTTGCTTAGCCCAGCCTCAAGTCCGAACAGGACATCTGCTTGGTACACATAAGGGCTTTTCAGGCAGTCTGAAGCAAGGCTTTAATTCTTGCTGCAACAATGAAGTGAGGGATAGGATAACATCTTTGCCAAGGTAGTGCTTAATCCTGATAAAGGCAGCAAAGCTTGTTGCAAGAGGGGATGGGGTGGGGGGACCAGGAAAAGGTGTGCACCATTCACAGTTCACTCCTGAGAGAAAACCATGGATTTAAAAGAGCACTGAGCACTAGGCTTCACCCATCTGAAATGGCGCATAAGCTTGACTGTATTGTGCCCACATCCTGCAGTTTCATGAAGCAGAAGTAATGTTGCTCTTTTCCCCAAATGACAGCTACCGATGCTTATCCCTTCTCTACCTGAGAATGTTTAAACTAAAGAAGGACCATGCTATGAAGTACTCGAGGTCTCTGATGGAATACTTTAAGGTACCAGCATTTTACTGCTTATTCCCATTGAATGATTGGTATTTTCCTCTTCCGCAGGCAACACAGGCAACAAGCCAGAATTATAACCCACCATTTCATCCTGGCTTATTTCAAACAAACCGTAGTTTAACAGGGCTTATCTTCCAGGTTGGATGTAACCACACAAGTCAGGTCAGGTCAGAGCAGAGAGCTGAAGGTTATTGTTTCATCCTTACAGCTCCGCTAGAGCAGGAGAGAGGAGGGCTGAGACTCACATATGCTCATTCATGTTGTGGCATGCTATGGTTTAGTGTTATGTCAAAATGGTCCATTATCATGGTCAAGGCCTTGCATTCTAGTAATTTCTATATTGTGGTATTTCCTTTCAGACCTGAGTAATGGTATTTCCAGCACCACCACATTCTACCAAAAACACAATTCCAGCCCAGCTACAATGAACTACCAAACTAAAATTAATTCCACTTTCTACTATTGGCCCTTTAAAAAATAGCTTCCTCCTGGCTGCTTTCTTTTAAAATGCTTGGCTTCTGCCTCTTCTATAAGGTCTGTGAGACCTTCACTAAGCAGATATTCCTTCCAAGCAATATAGTAGGAGTTTATCAACAGGCATGGAATAGACACGTTTGTAAGGGGTGTACAGCTCTGCTGGGTGTCTTGCAGAACTTCCACCTTAATTCCAGTCCGACTGCAGAAAAACTTTGACTCAGCACCGCTGACATATCCTAGTATGGAAGCAACAGCTATCAGCCTTCGCAGTGTTACTCGATTCTCCTTAACAGTCACAGTTTCAACTAGATTTTCAAAACTCCCTGTGTTTTGGATGTTCACTTTACCAATATATAAAGGAACGCAGAGAAAGTAAAAAAGCCAGGTTTACCAATATGAGAGCCCACTACAACCTTCAGGACAATCACATAAGTATTTTTTTCTAAAAATGAGAAACAGTCCTCCCCTATTTCAAGCGATCATCTTCAAGTTTCCTGTCTTGATGAAAAGTTTTCTAATTCACCCACTAGGTGAAAAAGCACCTTTTACAGAAGGAATTTTAGATATGGATAATTAAAGCACTTCATGAAAGGTGCCTGATTTATTCTGGAGTTCTGGTATATTGTGTCTTTCATTGACTTTTATACTCCTGGTTAGAGCCCACTAATTATCCAACCTGTGTTTCTTTTTTCCCCCTTTTTAGTTTAAAAAGGATTATTATGCTGGCATGGTTCTATATATAATGTTCCTACTTTACTACTTAAATAGGAAATGCCTTGTCTTGCAGTGATCAATATTAATGCAATTTAAATCTTCTTTTGTGTCTGCTGCCAAGAGAACAAAGACCGATCTCTTTATTTCCATTCTTCGTTCTTCTTACAGAATTCATCCAAAGTTTCACAGGCCCCTTCTCCTTGGGGAGGCAATGGAAAGTAAGTATTCCTTGTTCATGGAAATGAGTGGATAATGGGATATGCAGGGAGGATTTCTTTGTTGATGAAGATAAGTTGTTATATTATGGTTAAATGTTCCATGAGTTACAGTTTGACAAGCAGAACAAAAAAAGGGGTTGTATGGATTGATTGATCCCAAATTCTTCATCAGTTTGGTTCTTAAAGCCAAATGAGGGCCATAAAAATAGCTGTTAATTGGATAGAAAGTACAGGGTCGTTCCAAGATGCCAAAGTAAAGTTAATCTCCAGGGCAATGATTTTTTCTCCCAGTGATTTGTTCAGTAATGAAAGGCCAATGAATATTTCATTGATATATGGTAAGTGCTGTTTAATAAAACTGAAGGCGTAATAGTGGTGAATACATGGAGGCACTTAGTCAACCAATTATCTGAACCCTTCTATTAATGCTAAGACAGCACTGTCTCAAATCTGAAGCTGCAGTGTTGTGCCAGGCAGACATAACTCTCCATCTAACACTTCCTGCCTGTTTCGCACGTGTGGGCCACAGACCAGCTTTGCGTGCCATGAGGGCAGCCAAGCCAGGCACAACTCCAGGAACCAGCCTGAAGATGTCTGCAGCTGTAAACAAGAGCAAAAACAGCTATTGGTTTCATTCATTCATTCATTTACTGTGTATACCCCATTATGTGTCCCCCACATGGTGGGACTCAAGGTGGCTCCATGCAGTTCCCTGATGGTCTCCCCTCCAAGCTGAGGCCAGTTGCAGATCTGCTTAGCTTCAGCTTGGTGGATGTGCCTTCACACCATACTCTGGGCCAGGCAAATTAATTAATTGACCCTAATTCCGACCAAAAATGGTCTCCATTTTCACCTGTAACCAAAGCATTTCAGTACCCTAACACCAAGTTCCAATTTCCAGGATTCTCTGTGGGGAAACCATGCCAGATAAGGCAGTCTGTATGACAGATAACAGGGTAGATGGGGCTGAAGTCATGGCAGTATTACACAGATGGGTGGGATTTTGGATCACCCCAATATTTAAACCAAAGGAGTCAATCCCCTTACCAGAGAAGAGAAGCTGTTAAGCACCCCTTCCACACCTGATGAAGCAATGGGGTCTGCTGAGAACATGCCATTCTCAGCCAGCGATTTTCTTCCGCCTAACTGCTGGCATTGGATCTAAAAGAAATGTTGTACAAACACCAGGCAGATGTTTTAAAAACCAGCTTCTTATCTAACACTGCTTGGATGAACTGGGGCCAAATGGGAACAAGCCATACCTCTGAAAGATTCTCCTGCCTGCATCCTCCAGTGCCCTGTGGGAATCTTTCAGGAATGATGCATCATTTATTGGGGAGCAGGGGGGCTGGATTGGGAAGCTTTTTGCCCCAGACTCTTGGATGGCAGGCCCATTATGTGTGCTGAGTGGTGAGCCAGATGGAAGACCATTTCCCCCTATGTAAAATGGCTGAGATGGATGGATATAGAGAAAGAGAACTGGTTTTCAAGATACTTGTTGCTCCTGATCTATGAATTGTATATAGCCAAAGTGTCTGCTCATATTATGGATGACCTTTGCCCTCTGTGAATTTGTCTAATTCCCCTTTTCAGTTCTTGATGGGTGTCCTGTCATCTAGTGGCTTCCAGTTCCACCCTTGTCCAGCCCTTGTTTCAGTTCAACCAGGTCCCTGACTGTCGGGTCCTTGCAGAAATGCAGTGATTTCTATTTGCTGTTGTGTACAAGTAATGAGTGCAGGGCACTCCATTGGCAGCACTGATGTGTTTAAATATTGGGGCACTGCAATCCAGTTGTACATTCACCCAGAAATGCATCTGTTGCATTCTGTGGCACTAACAGCAAGGAAAGCCTTCAGACCAAACCGTGTGTTAAGTTAAATCCCATCTCACGCAGCTCCCCGTGCATGTCTACTTTACTCAAAAAGGCACTGTGGGACCAATCCAGATTAGGAGCTCAGCATATGACGGATAGAGAGTTAATCCTTCCCGCACAGCCATGGCATACAGACAGAAATCTCCTCTAGTGCAGTAGTTAGAGAGTAAAATACTCCCATTGGCAGCAAGTTGTTGTTTTTTACTGGAATTGCGGTGCAGAGGGGATCCACAGGGATTGTGGCTTTAGAGGGACGAACCAATAGATGTCCTTCTGTCTCAATCCAGATGGGAATCCCTGTGCTTACTCTTGAGAATGCAAAAAAACATGTGGAGTTACACACTACATATTTAATGCAACTTGTAGTAGTTTGACCCTCTATGTGATGTGCTGTTGTTATTTTAGTTTCGATCATATTAGGTTTCACAACAACCTTGAGAGGTAGGCGGCTGTTTCTGCTCATTACTTTTGGACACCAGGAGCAGATGGAATGCTATCTAGTCTGGAAGGGGGGGAATAGCTAGAGTATTATCCAGGAGATTAATCATCAAAAGCTGGAATGATGTTAATAAAATATGCAAATTAGCCACAGCTTTAGGGATTCATGAGAGGTTTCCATTGGGGAATCTTGGAAGCTCCAAACATATTGCATGGCTGGGTTCTTTTTTTAATTTAGCGGTCTGAAAAAAATGTTCACAGTGTGAAGGGAAAAAATTAAAAAGCGGGAGGGTCCATTCTTGCTTTCAGTCATTCTGAGTTACCAACGTTCTCTTGTTGGGACTTTGCCTGAAAGCGCAGAATAGCTTTGCCAGTCAAATTAACTCAGAATTTCCATTTGCATTCAACTGCCATTTGTTCAGGTATGAAAATGACTGCTTTAGAAATCTGGATTATTTGTAAGTTATTTAGAAATACCGACTATTGAGCATTTCTAAATATTTAACAAACTTGACCAAATGCCTTTTTAAGTCTTGTTCACTGAACAAGGAACAAAGGGCATTTCTACACTACAAATGTATGAGGACTTGTGTCCCACTTTCACTGTCCTAGCTTCCCCCAAAGAATCCTGGGAATTGTAGTTTAGTACCCTTTAGAAATCCCTGACCCCTCCACCCCTTGCAACACAAGGGAATGATATTCAGGCGTTTACAATTTTTGTTTGTTTGACTGATTGATTATCTCACTTTTCTTCCAAGGATTTCTCGGAACTGGGTGGGGTTCTGCCACTCCCCTGTTTATCCCAACAAACCTGTGAGATGGGTTAGCTCAGAGAAGGAGTAACTGGGCAGCACGTGTGTTATTTTCTAGAAGACTCATGGCTAAGCAGAGATTTGAACCGGGATCTCCCCAGTCTAACACTAAGAAGCAGGAAGCCAGTGGCCTTTGGCCTAATTTTATGTGTCTCGTGGCTTCATTTCAAAAGTCCTCTAGCCACAGAGAGCTGTCCCTTCCCTGGCAGCCCACCGTGTGGGAAGAACGAGAGAGGGTGGCAACGGTGGCAGAAGGAGAAAAGGCAATGGCATCAGATTTGGCCATACCAACCATTGGCTTTAGCTGTCATGGCTGCCCACCTTTTTCCCCCAACAAATTACCCAGCAGGCAATGCAGCCCTCAACAGCATGTAGGCTGCCTGTCCCTGCTCTAACCACTATGCTGCACTGGCTGTCCATCAGCGGCACTCTGTAACGGTGCTCCGTGAAAAGACGGCCGGCCGGCCTGGCAACTTTGCAGTTGAAACATGGCACACTTGCATTCCATCTTCCCTCGCAGAAATGGGGGGAGCCCCCACCCACATGGGGGGATAGTCTTCCCCAAGGTTCCCATGGTAACAAGGCACATTCCGATTTGGTCACACAGGCTGCCTGGCTTGATAGTGCATCGCCTTCAATCCGCAGTACGAACTGCTGGGCTTGACCTGCAGTGGCCAGGCTGCCGTGTACTTCAGGGGCCGGGGGGCACCCTTTCACCCCCCAGCCTCCTCTGAGACCTCCACTCTTCCAGAGGTGCTCTCGAGTACCTCTGCGGGGAGTGCTGAGCACAGGCAGGCACCGCCGTCTTAAGGCCAGCGCCAAATTGCTTTACCAGGGTCTTTGCCAGACTGAGCAGCCAGCTCGTTCTTCTGACCTGGAACCTCTCCTGCTTCCCTTTTTCCAGGAGCACAGAAACTCCATCCCCCATGTCCCTGAGCCCTTCACCCATCAGCTCTCTTGGGAACACGACAGGCACAGCTGGGTCGTCTTCGGCGGGGACCATAACCATTCCCCAGCGCATCCACCACATGGCTGCCAGCCACGTCAACATCACGAACAACGTACTGCGAAGCTACGAGCACTGGGACATGGCTGACAAGCTGGTGAAAGAGAACAAAGGTGCCGCCTTCTTCATAATCTCTCTGCTCTAAAGACTGGGGATTTGAAATGCTTTCTGTCTGGTTATGACAAGGTTTGATCTTGCAGACAAAGGGCATGTGACGGTCACTGGCTGGCTGGCTAGTTGGTTGGCTGGCTGGCTGGCTGGCTGATGTCGTAGCTGGTTGTCATTTTTCACAGTCGTTCTCAATGTCATGATGCCAAGGGATGGGAGTAATATAAAGTATCAACCGCTCAGGAAGTATTGGCTTCCTTTACTTTTTTTTAAAGGAATGATGTTTCTGGTCCTCATCCGGACCAGCTCCAGGGAGCCCCAGGAAAAGTGCCCTCTAGTGGGCCTCTTTCACTGGAAGGCAGCAGTACTACAGGCCTTCTTCCATGTCATCATTTCATATCCACGCTCCCAAAATACATGCCATCATAAATCTATGTGAAAAGTAGATGCAAGTAGCCCGAGTCCCTGCTGGTGGATCTAAGTGCCCTTGATCCTGTAGCTCTGAAGTTAAGAAGCCAAGTGCACACAGCAAAAACAAAAGGTCAGCCTTTATTTGTAGGAGATAGCAGACTCACCCAAGAAGAGGCATTCCCCTTTCTGATCTCACACGGGAAGGCATGCCTCTTCTCAGAAGATGCTTTCAGAAATGCCAGCACATGGTAATGTGAACCCTGTACTTCCATTCACTGAATCATAGCAGAGGCTAATTCTATTTTTCATGTGTTTGGAAGTAAATATTTTGAGATCTTACTTTGGCCAGTCCAGCTAGTTCTAGTAAGAAAGCAATATGCAGCTCATCCGTGTTTGTGTGTGTGTGTAAGAAATTGCTATGAACCAAGCAGAGAGCTTTACCAACTGAGCATAAAAGTAATTATTATTGCTGATCCTCCTTAAACATTGCATGTTTTGGGTAACCGTGTATTGGATAAACAGTAAGAAAAGAGATGACATTCATTCTAAATGCATAAAATGTCATATTGCCTGTGAACTAGTTAATTATTTTCATTTGGAACAATAAAGAAGAAGGAGTAACAGAAGAGATAAAAATCAGGTGGACTAGTAACATGCATTCTTTACAGGAGGCTGTGTGATATGAGATCCATTCTTCTAAAACATAAAAGGAAGGAAGAGATAATCTTGTGATTAGTGCTGTGGATTGTGGATTTGCTAAATGTTCTACCTGGAATTGAGTCAAAGTAGCTCAGGTGCTCAAGCAGCAGAAAGAAAATATACCCAATAATTATTATTCCTAAAGCTAAGTATAGAGAGAATTAGCTGTTGAACTCCCTATTTGCATAGCTCTTCTTTTTTGCAAAACATTATGGCCTTTTTTACTCCTCAAATAAGCCCAGTCTTTTGAGCCCCTAAGGATAGAACACACCCAGTTCTGCAAAGCACAACTGATACATTGCAATAAATGAGGATGTTTGGAGAACAATATCCTTTTCCAAACATTGTTTCAACTTTCATTAATTGCCAATTACATATTTGCTTTTGTATTTCACATTTCAAATTTTAGTATGTTTCATGTTGATAGCCGTCTTTGACAGCAAGAAGTATGAACTCCAAAGGGTTCAGGGATGCCTTTGAAAAGCTTTGCCCTACTTCAATGCAGTCTGGGGTCCACCCCACAATGGGATTCACCCCTATATAACACCATTACCACTGGCCAGCCATCCCCTACCTATTTCAGTTCCTGAACAAAGCAATGGTACATTTACAGAGTGGGCCCCTCATGACAAAGGAAGAGCTTGGAAGAATCAATCTCTCATTTCCTGCTGGGGGTCACCTATTCAGATTTTTCTCAGACCTCCTAAATCAAATCAGAAGACAGAGAAAATGGCAAATCACATAGCCTCTGGCATTGCATCACAAATAATCAGGTAGTAATTACAATAGGAGCGTTTATTAGGTGCCTGCGAACGTCCCATGTGGCTGTTCTTTGCCCTCCTGCCTCAGCACAGTGTGGGCATCAAGGAAAAAGCAAGACGAGGGCCAATGCAAAGATTGCTTTCATGTATCCCTCACCTTGCAAAACATGTTGATGCCTGACTGCACCCATCAAATGTTCCACCCCTGCACGTGCTCCTTGCTGAGCCTCGCTCTTTCCTTCCCCGAGGAATGCCCTGCCCCCAGCACCGGCTCCGAGGTCACACTTGTGACTTCGGAGCCAGTGCAAGTGAAGAAGGCAGTCCGCCGGCTGGGAGGACAGGAAGTGCTCACGCTGAATTTGGAGCTGGTTTTCAAGCTTTTCTATGTACATCTAAAGAGCATATAGGAACCACAGGACTGTACTCTAGAGTTCAACTATTTTAAGACAAAGTAATAATAAAATAAATTATAGTAAATAATTACTATTAAATTTTTAATATTGGTCGTTTTCTTTGCTTCTCTTTTTACGTTTCTAAAGAGCCCACCTATGGCTACTTATTTGGAAGTTAACCTAAACTTCCTTCTGAGGCAACATGCATAGAATTATTTTAATCACTTCATTTCCCTACCCATTCCATACCCTGTGTTCTGCTGCTGCATGGAGATTTTAATAGCATTATTAGATGTTCTTGCCAATTATTATTATTTTCTGAACTGTTGTAAGCCAGTTAGAACTATGTATTTTTACAATTTAGTTAAGCAACTAATTGAAAAACCAATCAGCTAGAGCAAATTAATATAATTAGTGAATGCACTCATGCGTGGTGGTCCTGAGAAGGCAGAAAATGACTCCGCTTCCTATTTTGCAGAGTTCTTCATAGACCTGGACTTGGTGATGGGTCCATTGACGCAACACAGCAGTATGGCCAATCTGGTCCGTTACGTTCGGCAAGGACTCCATTGGCTTCGCGTTGAAGCACACTTGTTGTAGTGAGTGCCACCTTGTTTATCACAACTCCGTCCTCTTACCTCCGCCGGCGCACAGGTGATCACTGATGGAAAGCCACTCCTTTCCAGGACTATATCCACAGAGTTTAATTTTATTGTCTTTTCTTTTTCCTCATGAAAACAAAACAACAGTATCTTATCTGTTAGAACTGCAACTCATCATAAATGGGAGAAACATGGTTCCAGAGCAGGGTATGTGTTCGTACCACTGAATCAGTCTGGATTCTCTTCTTTGTCCTACCAGATCCTGCCACTTTTGCTATGTATAACGTGCTTTATGGGACAGTAGATTCCCAGCAGTATTGCACTTTGTTGAAGATATCAGTTCTTGGGAAAATGTCTTAAATCTTTGAGGACACATATGAAAAGCCCCCTATCCTGGAAACCAATGTGCCAATGCTAAATCCATCCAACTCAAAATTGGATGCAACCATGCAGTTCACATCTTTGCCCTGGTTCCATTACCCAAGAAAGGTCATTGCTAAGATTTCAGAAATGTAGTCCCTAAAAAACCAGAGCATCTTTTATGCAATTACAGATGCACACAGTCATCCAGTATGAGATCCCCTGGGAAATTTCGGGAGGTTTTTCTGTCGCTGTCTAAATGATGTTTTGCCATTCTATTCTTTGCATTGCATTTAGAATTTTAAGACAACAGAATGCTGCTATTTTTAAGTACATCTCAGATTCCTTCTAGTCTCTGCAATCACATTGTTAGTGGAAGAGCTTCAAACTGCTCGTGCTCCAGGGCTCACCCAGAGGCCTCCGATCCTGAGAAATTGGAAAGAAGCTGGTCGTATAGCTTCCATTCTAGATTTGTGGAGCAATTCTGTCCAAGTTGATCTCCATCAGCCCACATAGTGGGCTTTGACTAATGGGATTGCTGGAAACAGTATTGGGAAGTGTAGTTTCCACCATGCAGCACCCATGGGCTGACATTTCCGAGATGAGCTTGAACCAAAGGCATTGTGGCGTCTGCCCCATGCTGGCCCCTAAGGCTGACTGCAGGCCCCTTGTGATGGTGTCCCAGCATTGCTCAGCCGTCTCCCCCACCAAGCGGAGCAGCGCATACTCAAAGGTATGTGAGAAGCACTGTCCCATTTGCTCAGTGCGGCCTCCACAGATGTGTTCCTGTGCTCACTGCTGCTGTGAGATTTCTGAGGTTTGCTGGTGTGCAAGAGTGTATCAGATGCCACCCTCTGCAAAAGCTTTTAAAGGAATAAGTTAGGACACTGAGAGGATGATGCTTTCAGACAGACTTTGAGCTTTGCAATAGCTTTTCATGGAAAGTCAATATGGTTCATAGGTCTCATAAATTTGGACCCGTGTATTTCATCACAGTTCAGAGCAAGAATGAATAACTTGGTCACAGTCCCTCCTTCCAGTATTTTCATCACCAAGAGGAGCCTGAACGGAGATCCTATTGCTGCCCATGACACACGGCGTGCTGGGAGCTTAGGGAATTTTGGACGGTACTGCTTTCTACATTCAAGCCAGCAAATAGGTGTGCCTGGTTGGATTCCACAGCAATTAATATTTCTCCCCCCAATTCATAAGCAGGACTTAATATGTGCCAGGATTCACCAGTTCTGCACCCCAACATCTGTTTTTAATTTCAGAGCTGTACCCTGGAACATCTTACTAACAGATAAGCCAGAAGTAATGAAAGTATCCCTGTGCAAGTACAGGGCACTTATCTTTTTACCCAAAAAAAATCTACAGAGAGTTTCCACACATGATGAATAAAGTCTTGAAGATAAGAAGGTAGCATTTCTAGACAGATTTTGAGCACCACAGTCTCATTCATGGGAATGCACTGAATTTGTTGACAGTTCAGAACAAAAGTGAATGACTTGGACTGCAATCCTGCACACTTATCTGGGAATGCAATGGGACTTCCTTCTGAGTAGAAATGTATGGGGTTGTGCTATTAACCACCCCCATTAATTAATTTTCCTTTTTTTTAATTTAATGACTAGAGGCGGCATCCGTTTTTCCCCCAAACAGCACAGGTCCTCAAAAGAAAGCTAGTTTGTTATACTAATAAACTGTATAGCATTCCACTGCAGTGTCCTCAAGACATAACAATTTCACTGTAAATTTCACTGAGGGGAAGGGTGGGAAAGAACACCGATCTCATGACGATGTAAATATCATTGTGTGTCACATGTCTCTGGAGTAATATTCCATATGTATTAGATAATTAAGCAGAGAGTTAATTGTAGCTACATTCTGTTCTATAAGCCTATATCCTAAGAGGCTTATGCTTGGTAACTAGCAGTGCTTTTTTTGTAAAAAAAAAAAAAAAAAAAAGTGCCAGAACTCACGTCGCTGGCGCTAAGCGCGCGACCACATACACCAATCCCAAGCCGAGCAGCGCCCTCATTATCTCACTATCAGATAGCAGACACAAAAGCAGCCCCCCCCCCGCCCCCCGCAGGCACTATGTTAATGATGTTTGCTGCTGATCTGCTATGATTCAAAATCACTTCATAAAATCCATTGGAAAAAAAGGTGCTGGAACGTTCCAGTGCGTTCTATGACAAAAAAGCCCTGGTAACTAGCATATCAAAAGCTCACCCTGCTAGGATTTGAAAACAAACCTTGCATCTGTTGTGAGAAGGTCATTTCGAATCATTGATCTGCGATCCCATTTTAAAGGTACTTGTTTTTTTAAGTTATATTGACACCTGATAATAATAGGCAGCTTTTTCTTTAACAGGCACGCAAAAATCCACATCCTACACATTTCATTCCACAGTCTTATGAAGGTAGTGGCCAGTCACATTCGACTGGTCCCTGAAAGTAATGCCAGCATCCCAACCCAGCAAGGTGTACAGAAAGAGGCTTCCCCAGTAGATAATCCACAACAGTGTGCTCAGGTTGCAATGGGGAAATCCACACATCTGGCCGCAGCTTGTCTGTGCACTTCTGGTCCTGATCCAGAGGTCTGCCACTTGGCTTGTGTCTCTTCCCCTCTATCCTCTTCCCCATGTCAGAGGCTGGAATTAGTGTAGGAAGCCCCTTCGCCTCTCCTCTGCATCCTCTGGAGATCTGCAAGGACTACTGTGGATCCCCAGATTGGGACCAAATCATCCCACTATGGCCTATACTAGCCAGCATATCCCTTTTTGTTCATTATGATGGTCAGTAATCGTGACTTGGATCCACAGATTCAGCTGATCACAAGAACAATTTGTAGCTACCAAGGAGGTCATCATTTCCGAAGACACAACTTTCTGTCATTGCTCTTGTGTTGTGTCTGTTGTGTATAAAGTAGTAAAAAGGAGTCAGAGTAACCAGAGTGTTCTATCCTCTTCGTTAGACTTTCGCCAATTGTCTTTGGCTGGCCTCTTTGATCCAGTTAAGTGCATTGTTCTTTCTTGTTAGTTTAATGTGAACAGAAATCCTAGACCACTGTGTACTCTGCAAAGGATCCTTATGACTTGAAATATCATCTTAAGGCATTTTTCAAAGGGTTATCTCTAAACACTCCATCAGATTGGGGTGTTGGTTTTCTTCCAGCACTTCGTAGTAAGTGGATGCCTCTCTCCAGATTTAGCTGTTTTCTCATATCTGTTCCCTGGGCATATTAGAAGTCCCTTTCTAATTTTTCATTGCCTGGGTCTTAGTCCTGGTTCACACATGTGTGTACATCTCTGGATTGCTCTATATGTGAGAATGTGTGGGAAGGGCGAGATTGGGCTTGTTTGCCCTCAGCATGCATTGGCTATGCCCATACAAAGAATATGTGAAAAGGTTTTGTACACAGCCATGATTAGGAAACCCTTCCTATTCAAGGACCCTCATTTCTGCCTACAGAGCCTTATATTTTGGAAAGAGTGTAAACTCCAATGGATGTGTGAGCATAATCCATTCCCAGGGCATGCAGGGAATATTTCAGGGGTGGGGGCCATGAAAAGCCCACAGATTTTCCTTATTCCACCCTCTGGATTGCTTTCAGTTCGCCCCATGCTGGCATCAGCTTGATCTAATGCAAATCAAGGCAGCATTGCTTTTAAAACAAATAATGTTTAGGAAATTAGCACAAATTGTAGCCATTAATATTTGCAAAAATACTGAGCACTGCAATTTGCACAAATTTCCCAAGTTGTTCGTTTTTAACAAAAAAAGTAAACAAACTCAGTAAAGACAAACTTTTTGAGGCAAGGTATCAGCCAACCCGTAAAGGTAAAATTGAGAAGGATACAGCCAAGGGAAATATTGAATCCAGGGTTACATGATAGGCTTGTGGGTGCAATAAAAATGCTAAAATATTAAAAACAGTACAAAGCATGCAGATTTAAACTTTAATTGCACAAAAGACCAATTTGCACAAATCACTGTTTTTGAAAATGGTACTACAGAAGCACAGAACTCAGATCTCATTCTGCCCAGTTATTTTGCACACATTTCTAAATCCCCTACATCCCTTCACCCAAAAAAGAAAAAGTCCTGCATGGTCCATTTCTAACTCCCAGATCAGAAACACTCTGGCAGTCCATCAGGTTCAAATGGCATAGTTTTCCTAGAGATGAATGGCTTGACCTGCTTCCCTCATACACACATTCAAGGTCAATGTGAAGAGCCTCAGATGTTTGAATGTGTGGAAGGACTCATTTACGTCTGAGGTGAGAGCAAGCATTCTTCCTGTGGAGGCATGTCTGTGATGTCCATTCACAGAAAGCTGATGTTCTGCTCATCAGCCAGCATGCATGCATGTGCAAAGCTGGCCCCCAGTTTGAGAGCCAGAAGGGGATTACATAAACGCTTTCTCAGAGCTAGAAAACTGAAACCAGGGTCCCGACCCAAACCCTTTACTTGCTTCCACATTTCAGTATCATCCATCATTCTTCCAAGGAACTTGGACAGCTGATTGGTATTCCATCACTTCCCATTATTCAGTGTCCATGGTCCTCCTTATTTTTGGGGGGGTCTCCAGGGGAGGCTGCTGACCCCATGTCCTCCTCATCCCTTGCAGCCGTCTTCATTTTGAGCCTGGCAGGAGCTGTCCATGGTGCTGCATGGCAATGGAAGTCTTTTGAGGGTGGATTCAGCACAAGGGACAGGTCCTGTGCTGCTCAGGTCTC